GAGACACTTCCGAGACACTTCGCGCATGTACATGTGCTCCGGGCGCCGCTTCGGCTACCTGCAGGTTCCGAGACACTTCCGAGACACTTCCGAGACACTTCGCACATGTGCTCCGGGCGCCGCTTCGGCTACCTGCAGGTTCCGAGACACTTCCGAGACACTTCCGAGACACTTCGCACATGTGCTCCGGCCGCCGCTTCGGCTACCTGCAGGTTCCGAGACACTTCCGAGACACTTCCGAGACACTTCCCACATGTGCTCCGGGCGCCGCTTCGGCTACCTGCAGGTTCCGAGACACTTCCGAGACACTTCCGAGACACTTCCCAGACACTTCGCACATGTGCTCCGGCCGCCGCTTCGGCTACCTGCAGGTTCCGAGACACTTCCGAGACACTTCCGAGACACTTCGCGCATGTACATGTGCTCCGGGCGCCGCTTCGGCTACCTGCAGGTTCCGAGACACTTCCGAGACACTTCCGAGACACTTCGCACATGTGCTCCGGGCGCCGCTTCGGCTACCTGCAGGTTCCGAGACACTTCCGAGACACTTCCGAGACACTTCGCGCATTGTACATGTGCTCCGGGCGCCGCTTCGGCTACCTGCAGGTTCCGAGACACTTCCGAGACACTTCCGAGACACTTCCGAGACACTTCCGAGACACTTCGCACATGTGCTCCGGGCGCCGCTTCGGCTACCTGCAGGTTCCGAGACACTTCCGAGACACGTCCGAGACACTTCGCACATGTGCTCCGGCCGCCGCTTCGGCTACCTGCAGGTTCCGAGACACTTCCGAGACACTTCCGAGACACTTCCGAGACACTTCGCACATGTGCTCCGGGCGCCGCTTCGGCTACCTGCAGGTTCCGAGACACTTCCGAGACACTTCCGAGACACTTCGCACATGTGCTCCGGCCGCCGCTTCGGCTACCTGCAGGTTCCGAGACACTTCCGAGACACTTCCGAGACACCTCCGAGACACCTCCGAGACACTTCCCTGCAGGTGTCGACCATCTGGTCGATCCTGCTGCGCGACTTTGAGCTGCAGATGACCACGCCGCTGCCCAAGCCGGCGTACAACGACATGGTCGTCGGGCCGGACGCGCCCATCATGATGCGGTACAAGCGCAAGGTCTTCCTCGCGCCCGAAGAGATCGCGGCGAGGCAGGCCAGGTACGCTGCCGGCGCGGCGGCCGCGAAGGCGGAGAAGGAGGCGGCGGCGGCGCGGGAGCCTAGAAGAGTATCTCCCCATATCTCCCCATATCCCCCCATATCTCGTGCCTAGAAGCGGAATATCTCCCCATATCTCCCCATATCTTGTGCCCAGAAGCGGAATATCTCCCCATATCTCCCCATATCTCCCCGTGTCTCCCCATATCTCCCCATATC